GAAGATTAGTGTGGCCCCTGCGCAAGGCTGCCGCACAGAAATCGTGGATACGGTGAGGAAGAAGAGAAGAAAGGAGGAAGAAGACGAGGAAGAGGACGAGGACAACAAGGACAAAGCAGAAGAAGAGGAGGAAGAAGAGAAGAAGATGAGCCAAGTGCAAGTGCTCAGAGAGGTGGGAGGAGGGCATCGATCTTCCATACATGTATACGTCTTTCGATTAGCAAAGACTGTAAAAAAAAAAAAGACTCGTTACACAATCGCTTGACATCACAACACACCCAGTAATCTTCTTCTCTCCCCTACCTCCACAGCTGTAGCCAATTTCTGTCGCCGTTATGAAAGCCATGATCTTCTCAGGTATAAAGCTGAAGCTCCTCCTCAGGCATGCTTTCTGTGGGACTCGAGAATCATCACCTGCACTCCATACAGTTTCCCCCCTGGGGGCCAGCCCTCCTAACTGAGGCTCGGCATCCCTTTCAAGATGGAAAAAAGGCACAGTCGTCATCACAACATTTCAATGACACATTTATGATACAATGCCCCCTCGTACGATGGCTCAGCGTCATTGAATTACGACGACAGCTTCCATCATGCCGATGGCTCAGCAAAGAGTCGCACCATTGAATTAGGACGACCAATTAGTACAATTTCTGTCCCGATTATGAACCCCCCCCCCCGATTCTTCCTTGGAACCGGTCCTTGGTATTATGATTACCACCCATGACTTGACCATGCACGCATGCCAAACCGTCAACCACAGCACCCAAAGATATTTCTCCCATCTGCCACTCCACTCTCCATCCTTCCCCGTGAGCTCCATCACATCCAAAAGATCGTCGAATTCTTGCTGTCATGCTCAGGAACATAGCCATCCATCATCTAACCAGGGTCTCAATACAATTATATTCTCTTCTTCTACTTGTCACCCTACCGTCTCAATACAATTATATTCTCTTCTTCTATTTGTCACCACACCGTCCACACAAGCATGTTTGCAGTTTCTTCAGTCCAAAAAAGCATGTATGCGCTTTTCAAGTGCCCCCCAAATCCAAAGCAATCACCATTTTCTCCACTGCTAGCTGGTTTTTTAGAGGAGGAGACCAGAGAGGCCCATAGATGTCCTCCACCCTTGTTCCTAAGCCACGCAGCACAACAGAAATAGAAGCCCACCCCAACCAATCCCTCCCCCTAAACACCAACCAGTCCCCCTCCCCCTAAACACCAACCAACCCCTCCTGACTAGCAGAACCTATTTACAAAAACAATCTACGCTGGCACTCCACATCACTTCACCATCGCAGGCAGCTTCTGCACAGGCTGAACACACTTACGGTGCATGTACATGGTGCACTTCTATCCGCAAGGTGCTTTCAGGGTACTCAACCTGTCTCTTCTTTGTCACTGATGGTTCACTAAATGTCCGTTAGTCTGAAGTAACACCCTCTTTCGGAAAGAGTATCTCGCACCAAAAAATACTACAACTCAGAGAGAGGCTGCCGAGCGGCGGAAACAGGTAGGGAAACAGCCAGGTTGCAAAGGAAACAGGTAGGGAAACAGCCAGGTAGCGGAAAAGGTGGACAAACGGACAAGGAAACGAGTGGGAAATAGGTAGGCGAACAGGTAAGGAACAGGTAGCGGAACCCTCAGGGCAACACATGGTAGGGAGAAATGTCCGCGACAGGTAGGGAAAAGAGTAGGGAAGGGAAGAAACAGCTAAGGAAAAGGGTGGAAAAGCAGGTAAGGAGACAGGTAGGGCAACAGGCAGGGCAACAGGTAGCAAAATGTGTACGCAATCAGGTAGGGAAACAGGTAAGGACAGGGTGGCGAAACAGGTAGGCAGGTAAGTAGGGAAACAAGCAGGTAGGGAAACAGGTATGGGTAGGGAAACAGGTATGTGGGGAGACGAGTAGGCACACGAGCAGGTACCAAGCCCGGCAACCCCACATTAGGAGATCTTAGTCCTACGCCGTTGATACGAAGGAAAACAGGTATGTGGGGAAACGAGTGGGCAAACGAGTAGGTACCAGGCCCGCCAACCCCACATTAGAAGATCTTGGTCCTACGCCCTTGATACTAGATAGCTCCAGGCCAATGGAGGCCTGGCACCCCGTGCTACAAGATGACGCCTGGGGGCACAACAGCTGGCAATTCGCATCGACAGATGCTCCAGGCCAATGGAGGCCTGGCGCCCCGTGTTACAAGACGGGCCCATGTCCACCGCGCCCATGGAGACCAGGGCCGTGAGGAGCAGGTACCCGTTCGCCAGCTCCTCTGCCACGGGGAGGAGGGCCACCACCGAGTTGAGCAAGCCCTCTAGCAAGACCAGGCTGGACAACGTGTGGACCAGCAAGCAGACCTGGTCCAAGGTTGAGAAACCCATCTCCCCCAGCCACAGGCGGTTCCATGTCGAGACCAGGGAGGAGGCCAGCCTCGCTCAGTGCAGGACTGTGCGGGGGAAAGCGCAGCCCCTCCGCTCCTCTTCCCTCCTCTCTTGCTCTCCCAAATGGAGTTGCCCCTCCTCCCAAACCGCCAGCGAAACCTCCTCCAAATCCATCACCATCTCCTCTTCCTCCTTCCAACAATCCAAATCCTCCTCCCGGTAGGCGGTCGTAATCCCCACCCGTTATCCCCCTTCCAGGATGGCGGTAAAAGTGGCTGTGATCGCCTCGTGGCACCAGATGAGCAGGCATGGGAAGAAGAACGAGACCGCCCCGTCTATCTTCCTCCCTTCTCCTCCTCTCTTCCTCCCTTCTCCTCCCCTCTTCCACCGATCTTCGCCAAGCTCTTGCAAATGCCAACTTCCATGTCTGTCCGGCGGAGTGCCCTCCTCTCCCTCCTTCACCGAAATGCTGCACATAGAGCGTGTGCCATAGCTGATCATCACAAGCGAGATACCGCAGCTCAGAGCACGTACGCCCAACAGCAGCAAGATCCACAGCAGGCAACAGCTCCAGAATTCTCATCTTGAGATCTAAAGGAAGGGCAAGCAGCGACGGAAGGGGAGGGAGACCGGCCCGCTCACGAAGAGTCATCAACAGAGGGCGAGCAAGACAATCCTTCGCCTCCATCCATAACCCGCGCAGGTTCGAGAACCGTCTCCGCGCATTCAGGAGTATCCGCCTCGCTCGAGGATCTTGCAAAATGGCCGGAGAGGATGATGAGCTGGTGGATTGACTTTGTCTTTGACTTCCCGCTGCTGCCACCGCCGCTTTCTCTTCGTCCTCATCCATCATCATCATGTGCTGATGCTCCCCCTCATGTGCCTGCGGCTGCTGCTCCTGCTGCTCATCGTGAAGATCAAGACTGTTACTACCGTCGGGCTCGCGGGTTCTCTTCACAGCAGAGCTCCCACCTCGGCGGCGGAAAGTTCTCTGCTCATCGTCCACGTGGTGCTTGACCAGGGAGCTGTCTGTGCAATAAGCACTATGCCGCAAGGTTAGTCGATGCACAACGGGGCTTGCAGGACCAGAGTCTGCAGCAGCGATACCGTAGATAACGCTGCTCCCTCCCACTTGCCTGAAGCAAAGAAAGCATTTCACGGCGCGAGATTCTCGCTCTTCTCTCTCCACCCCGGGGAGAGTATACATGACAGTCAACGGACCCTCAACACTGCTCCAGCTTGCAGGGAGATGGACGTCAACGCCTGTCAAGCTTCCTCCTCCTCCTCCTCCTCCTCCGCCCCCGCCGCCGCCTCCTGCTGCTGCTGCTGCTGCTGCTGCTGTAGCTGGTTCTCCGATGCCTTCTCCTGCTGCTGACGCTAGAGCTCTGTTATCTCCTGCACCGTGCCAAGGGATCAAACCAGTCTCGAGCAGCGCCGCATGGACTGCAATCACTAAAAGATCGTGATCGTGTTTCACGGCGTCGATTTCCGCCAAGTGCACCCGCTCTAGCATGTCTGGAGCTGCAGCAGCTTCTTGTTCCCTGTCCCCTCCACCCCCTTCTCCTCTTCCTCCTCCTCCAAGTGCCTCTCCGTCATCTACCATCGCAGTGCCTTTCCCGTTGTCTTCTGCTTCCGCTCGATCACCCTGCAAACCGCTGTCCTCAGAAGTGTTTCCGTCCTGTCCCATCAGAGAGCGAGAGGTTATCATCGGGTCGTCAACCACACTATCCACACTATCCATTCGCTCGCTAGTCTCCATGACGGAGCCCTCAGTCCGAGCCGCGTCGATCGGCATCCTTACCCGTCCTATCTGATGATGATTCCCGATCTCCTCTTGATTGCCGGGATCGGGATCGAGATGAGACATTCGTGTCCCCTCAGCGGGGGCATCAGGTGATGACAACGGAGAAGGCAGTCTGGCCCAAAGAGACAAGGGCGATGGCTGCTGGGAAGAAGAGGACCCTGACAACGACGAAGAAGATGTAGCGGTCGCTTGCCACCCAATAGCAGCCGCAGCGCAGAGCTCTCGGCGTATCACGGCGGTGGCGATGGGATCCCGACGCTGCAAATCAACCCGATGGATAGGAGATGATGATGGGCCGGTACTGCCAGCAGCGGCGGCGTTACTCCCGAGAGAGGGAGGAGGAGGTGACGAGCTCCCCACCGCGGTCGTCCTACGACGACTACCAACACCTGCAGCAGCTTCGACTGGTTTTCCAACTCTCAAGGAAGATGAGGGAGAAGGAAAAGAAGTAGAAGATGAAGGGGATGGAGACGACGGCGATGGTGATGAAAGATGGCCGCTGCTATGGCTAATGCCCCTGCCAGCAACAAGCATTGGGGAACTTGAACATGACGGAGATGGCGTCGGAGAAGGCGAACCGCGGGGGCCGGATAGGATTTGCGCTGATCGGTCGCCCCCGCCACTGTTGATGCCGGAATCCGGACTTGAATGGGTCAGAAGGTACAGGAGATCACCGGTACAGATCCCGATAGTCGACAGAGAGACCGAGTCTGGACCCGTCAGCTCATCGCGCTTGTTCAGTGACAGGCGGACCTCGTTGACGCTGGGCAATCCGACGGCGTAGGCGATCCGCGCCCTTAGAGTTCGTAGGTCTGCAACATCTGCAACTTCTACGCGATGGGTAGGGCCACCGTTTGAAGAACGAACACGCAGTTTCATCGCTCTTCTCTGGAAATCAGAGAATCCAAACAAAGTGGAAAAAAAAGAGTGTTGAATCTCTTCCTCTCTTCGGCAATTGAATATGATGATGGCCACCTGAAAATGACGACAACGACGATGTGCGGAAGAAATGATGACTAGCACGCAAGTGGCGATAACCTTGTCGATGCTGACAACAAGAAAGATGATGAACAAAGATCTTCGACGGTAGCGCGCCGTATGCCACGTGTCGATCAGTCGCAGCCTATCCTTTGCCCCCCCAAATGGAAACCAGGGTCAATATCGCTGCCTGTCACGTGGACACCACCATGGATATCGCTGCCTGCCACATGGACACCACCACGGACATCGCCATAGTCTTAGTAAAAATTACACTACCGCCAATCTTTTGCCCCCAGAATAGAAAGCAGGGTCAGTATCACTGTCCCTGAAGTGGAAGTTCTGCCCCAAATACAACTCCAGAAAGACCGTACGTTCTAGCCCCGGGTGAAGACAGTATATGTTCCTTTGAGAAAGGAGAGAAAGGCGACAGCCTTCAGATATCATCCTCGAACTGATCGGGCCCAGGCAAATTCAGAGTKTTTTTTTTTTTTTTTTTTTTTTTTTTTTTTTAACCAACTCTTTACATTGAACAAACTCAATTAGAGGCCGGGGACCTCACAATTCAACCCGGGGTTATCCCGGCAGCATTAGCCGGTTTCGCTTACAGCCTGCTTGGCTGGGTGTGACTCTACAATCAACATGCTTAAACAATTCAAGCTTGACACCAATATAAGACTGTAAAATTCAGAGTTGTTTTCTCACCTGAGATAAGTGGGATTCGAACTGAGAACTGAGGTCTGTATTTCAACAGTTCGTGGATGTACCATCCGAGCTACACCTATCGGTAAAAGGAGTCGTCTTGACTTCTAACTTTGCGTTGCACAGTGGGGGGGGAAAACTGCAGAAAAGCATTTCTCCGTTTTCGGAGAATACGACTACCATGCGAGGGGCAAGAACGATTGGGAGGAAACCAATAAGCTCATGCATGGAAACAAGACAAGATTCTTTTATATGATACGAGGGGAAAGAACGATTGGGAGCAAACCAATAGCTCATGCATGGAAACAAGACAAGATTCATTTATATATCAACAAGAATAAGAAAACACATTACTAAGAAATTAAGCGAACAAAGGAAGCTCAAATGAGAAAATGAGACACAGAATGATCGCAAAAACTACCGTAGCAACAGAGGACCAAGAAAAAGAAGCACGCTAACGACGACAGCCCAGCCACGCACACGACAGAACTCATCACTACCCGCACAACCCATCACAAGCTGTTTGCAATCTACACAAAAACGTTCGTCACCTCTCGAACAGAAAGCGAAGACATCATACTCTTCTCCATCTCGTCAGACACCCAGACTCCGGAGCCGGTGGTGGGAAACACGCCCAGATTAATGTTTAGTATCACTGGACCGCCGCCGTTCCGTTCAGTTCCGTCCCGTCCCGTTTGGAACCCATGTACCTGATCTGGAGACAGACCAGATCCGCCGTTCCATTCCGTTCCGTTCCATTTGGAACCCACGTACCTGACCTGGAGACGGACCAGACGGAACCAGAGAGGCGGGTGCATTATTCCGACTTCTCCAGCTCTTCGCCGTCAGCGTTATATGCTGTCATCAGCCCCTAATAAGCAGAACGGGTTTAGGCCAATCAAACAGTCCCCCGTTTTCCCCCCGGTAGTACGCACGAGCCTTTCTTTTTTTTTCCGTTTTTTTTTGCTAGCCGCACGGGCATTATCGCAGTAGCTAAGACAAGAAGGCAATAATAAATACAGCTATAATGACCGTGCGTTCTATTCAAGGAAAAGAGGTTATAGCCGGGCATCTTTTTTTTTCTTTCAAGGCTAATTCTTTTAAGCCCAATCAATTCAATTACCTGTCGAATCCGGACAGGACGGCCTTTCAGGCCTTTTTTATTGTCTTATCGTATTACGGGAAACCCCGTAGCAGCCACATCCGTGCTCAAGCCTCCAACGAGGGAACATGCGGGAGCTGTGGCATTCAGGAGGTCTTCAGTTAAATTGGCATCATGTACCTTCCCGGGCAAGCTCCGCACCCGCCACCTAGAGATAGGCCGTTGATTCCCCCCAGTGGCATTGAGCAGAGACTGCTGATGTTCATCAGGGAAGGGGACCGGGGGGGGGCGCACAGCGATTGGCCCATCGAAGAAGCTCGGTCCTGATGCTATCGGCCGACCCCTGGCCCGTATTGCCCACCTGCTGGTTGGTCAGGAGGTCAGATGGGGACAAGCGTATCCAATTCCTAAAATTGTAATCACACAAACTACACGGTTAACGTGGCAACAACACCGAGGGGTTTTCTGTCCTCTCCCTAGTTTCCCCCGAACAGAAAACACCGTCATTCTCCATTCCACCCCCACCCTCTTCCACCCTTCCCCCACTTTCCCCGACGGTTCCTCCGTAATGTTCCAATTTTAACGGATGTCCCAAAGGCCACCTGGCCATATTGCCCCCCCCCCCCCCCCCCCCCCCCCCCCCTCCCCCCTCCACCCCCCCCCCCCCCCCCCCCCCCCCCCCCCCCCGCCACTCCCCTCCCCTCCCTGCCCCCCAGGCATCACAAACTCACCCATCACTTTCCCCCGAGCAGAATGCAAGTTTCCAGTCACATCCAGCTATAATTATCCGCCATGCGTTCTATTCGGGAGAACAAGACGGTTCAAAATCCACAGCTCGAAAATAAAAAAGGAGAGCAATAAACTTTCACTGTCTAAATGAAATTATATTTTCAATTAACTTGTAAACTAACATTTTTATTCGCTTTCAAATTACCCTTTTCATTAACATATTATATTAAATTAACTATTAAAATGGACTTTAAAATATCAACAACAATTAGGATTAGATCTTTAGAAGAGAGTTAAACTTTTTTTTTTTTTTTAATAAAGCACAACGCAATCTCATTATATTATATAATTGAAACAGAGGCCGGGGACCTCACAATTCAACACGAAATACTGACAGCATCGGCCAGCTTAGCTTACAGGTTTTACCCTGCGGGAAGTCCGTGCCATGGCGTTTCCCAGGTGGTACTTTCCTAAGTTAAACTCAGACAGATGAACTTGGACTTGCACTTGCAAATTAATCATGAAATAGGTAGCACTAATCTGAGGTGATGGTGAATCGGACCACAACCAATGACTAAAGCACAACTCAAGTAGGGTGCCTATGCTAAACTAGTATGGGACTAACTCGGCCCAGAGGACAACCGTCCTGGTCCTACTGACACTCGTAACGGTCCACCACGGCCCTGCAGAACCGAGTGTCCTGGTTCTACCATTCTAACCTATGGTGACACCTACCCCACCCATATGCTAAGATGCTCCTCTAACCTCTACTGGATGTGTCCTCCAGGATCCACTTCGACAAAATCAGACCTCTCTGTGAGTGCACCGCTGCAAGTTCGTTGTTTTTTCCCCAAGTGCGGAGAAACCAATGCAGTTGGTGGCGACTCCCTTTCCCTGATTTTGCCTTCCTCCTCCAGTCGATCCAAATGGCATGCTTCAGACCCTGTTTAAAGTGCCGTTTCCGCATCTGCAAAAGGGCGCTTTTGAAACCTTGACCTGTTTCTATCCAACCAGATGGTTTCGCAGATCAGGCCCCTGACAACATGAGCTACATAGCCCCAGCCCTGGTGACCTTTGACGTTCTCCGGTAGGAAGGCCTAGAAGTATCCATTGTTCCTTCCATTCCACCCCCTGGCCTCCTAATTCTCCCCAGTGGTGGGCCCACCAACTCCAGATCCTCTTTGCCGCAGGGCACTCCTACCACACGTGTTTAGTGGATTCAAAGGGCCACCTACACCTACACCTCGTGCATGCGAGATTCACCACCATTCCTCTGCTAGTTAGCCAGAAAGCTGAGGGAGAGACCATGAACAAAAGTAGCCATAGTAGACTGACCTGCTTCCCATTGGGGAGGGAGGCCAGAATTCTACACAGTCGCTCAAACTTAGGTTCCACCTCGGAGAGGTCTTCCTCCCAGACCGCCTGCCAGCGGGGGATTGCCACTTGCGCTGGTGACTTGAGCTTTTGCTTGTACTGCTTGTACTTGCGCTGGTGACTTGAGCTTTTGCTTGTACTGCTTGTACCCTGCAGCAACCGCGTACAGATGTAGGGATTATTCTTCTGCATTCTTGGCCAACCAGCTCCATGCTGCCGGGTCAATGCTGAGTTGCTTGAGAGGAAGCCTGCCTACCCATGTGGAAATGCAGACCGAAGGACGTCTGCTGTGTACCTCTAGTACACAGCTTCAGCTGGGTTATCCCAAATTTGGACTGTCTTCTTCGACTAAAGAACGCGTATTCTCAGGTCCTGTGTTCTTCCACCGTTCAATCCATCTGAACCCGCTTGGGAGTATCTCCACCACTTTCCACAACACCTGCTTTTCTTCTCTCGCTTGGTGAGGGACGTACCAGGTGCCCACCGGATCTACCCCCTCTGGGCCCAAGATAGCCAACCAGTCTTAAGGGAGAGCATTAATCAGCATTCTCCAATGGGCCTATACTCCTCTCAAGCTTCTGAGGGTGGCATTCACTTCTGTCAGTGGCTTCCACCCGCCAAGCAGGGATGACCAGAGATCAGACACTCATGATACCTCTTTTGACCCAGGCTTTGCCGAAAGAGCCCGCAGAGCCATCCGCCAGGAACAGTGCCCCGGTGTGATCTGTCCCAGCGGTGTTCTCGAACAGCAAGTGGTTGAGGACCTCCTCTTTGGTGGAAGGTGTGTGCTGCGAGTCTCGTGGTGTTCTTGAACAGCAAGTGGTTGAGGACCTCCTCTTTGATGGAAGGTGTGTGCTGCGAGTCCGGAGGGAGACGGTGCCACGATCGGCAGATAGGTTCCCAGAATCCGGATTTGAGTCTCTTCTTGCCGAAAGAAGGCATGAAGAAACGGGCCCAGACGTCCTGGGGTCTGTTCAGCCCCCATTCCTTCATCAATATACGTTCAGCCACTGTAACCCAATGCTCTCTGGTGTTCGTGGTGGCAACCCTGACGTCTGGGGTCTGTTCAGCCCCCATTCCTTCATCAACATACGTTCAGCCACTGTAACCCAATGCTCTCTGGTGTTCGTGGTGGCAACCCTGACTAGCCAATTCCTCAACTGGGCTTGGCTCCTCCTCGTGGGGTCCATCAATCCAAGGCCCCCTTGAGCTCTTGGGAAGGTTAGCGTATCAAACGCTACTTTCGGCAGAAACCCTTCCGTAAGCTGGGCCCGTGGGCCCGTGGTTTCCAAATGAACAGGGCTACCAACCTTCTAACAGCCTTCACCACCCCCTCCGCTAGTTCCTTCACGGTGGACACGAACCACAGAATCTAAAAGAGGGCCACATTGGCCACCATTGCTCTCCCTATTAAAGACAGATGCCATGCCATGCCCCACAGTCTCAATCTGGTGGAGATCCGTTGTTGCAGCAAGAGACCCTGCGCAGACACTTCTATTTGCATGCTGTTAAGAACTCCCAAGAAACGCTCTTCCTCTCCTGCTTCCACCCTTCGCAAACCCCATTCCACCTTCAGCACAAACTGCGAAGGGAGCATATATGTGGATTTGCTCCAATTCTCCCCCGTTCTTAAATTAACTGTTAACTTTTAAATTAATTTTTAAATCAATTAGCTTTTAAACTAATTAGAGAGAAACCAGACACACACGGACCGAGATTGGTGATCGTAAAGGTTCGACCACACTCCAAACGAAACCCAACACCACACACCGCCTTTCCCCTTTCCTCCCCCCCCCGCTTCCCCCACCCAAGGACATCCCCTCCTCACATTCTAGTACTCCCATCAGGGACCCCCTCCTCACACCCTAGTACTCCCATCCGTGGCACCCCCTCCTAACACCCTACTACCCCCGTCTTTCCCCCTTCCTTGGCCCCCGCTTTACCCACGCAAGGACACCACCTCCTCACACCCTAGTACTCTCATCAGGGATACCCCCTCCTCACACCCTAATACTCCCATCAGGGACACCCCCTCCTCACATCCTAGTACTCCCATCCGGGACGCCCCCTCCTCAGATCCTAGTACCCCCGTCTTTCCCCCTCCCTTCTCCCCCGCTTGCCCCACCCNCCCTTCTCCCCCGCTTGCCCCACCCAACGACACCCCCTCCTCACGCCCTAGTACTCCCATCAGGTATGCCCCCTCCTCACACCCTAGTACTCCCATCAGGTATATTCCCGCTCCTCACACCTTGGTACCCCCGTCTTCCCCCGGACACAAATATGGCAGTGTATCTTCCGATGTTCTAGCGGATGTTTCATTCTCATTCTGTACATTTGGTGAGTAGCGGAGCGCGGCCCCAACATTAATGGTCATGATTAACATTCCCGATTAGGGTACACTACGCGTGTTCCCCCCTCGACATGACTGCATCGGACAGAACGTATTATAGGTTATTTGTCAAGGCCCTAATCAGGAACACGCGTAGTGTACCCTAATCAGGAAGTATTAGGTTATTTGTCGAGGCCCATTAACTCGATCAGAAAGATATCGGGAGAGCGCCAAATTCTGTCTACGGACAGACTTGCGCGAAATTTAATCCCCCTAAATATAGGTTAACCCAGAGCAGAAAGGGCTTGTCCTAACTGGAGAGGCCCAGGGCCAAAAGCCCCATTGGTATGTTGCTCGAGATTGGAAAGCATGATTCTGGCCTTAATAATGGCCCGGTTCGTGCTTTCTTAGCACGACCATAGCAGCAGCAGCGGCTGGCCCTTTCATGACACACGAGCGCGATACGTTATCATAGCAGGAAACCAATTAACCACCAGTACTTCCTAGAGTCGTGCCCGTTGACGCGCCACGATTTTAGGAAACGTACGGGCTACTACAGGAGCGCCCAAATTCATCCGACTTGAAAAGTTTCTACTCTATTTTTTTCCCGCGGCCGATAGCTGGGCCAAGTACTGGTGGTTTAAGACTTTTTTTTTCTTTCTCTTTCTTTTTTTTTTGAGGGCGATGGTTTTAGGGTATTATCATCGGACTAACCAGCCGAGGTAAATTCAATCATTATTTTAAATTCGTTTCTGCCTTTTAAATTTAGAAGAGAAACGAAAATAGAACACCTAAAAAAAAAAAAAAAAAAAAAAAAAAAACACCTGCACAGATTCCTAGGCGACGGAGATCCGAGCAGATGGAACCAGCAACGTGCGCTAACATACACACGCGACGGCCTACATCCGCGCGAGCGAGCGCCCACATCCGCACGCGCGAGCACCCACATCCGCACGCCCGAGCACACACATCCGCGCGCGCCATAAACAGAAGGGTCGCATCCGCCTCTCCGCCCACCCACCTGCCAAGTGTCCCTCACGCGTCGTCCCTCGTAGTCCCACAAAATCGAGTCGCTGCCGCCAAATCTAGAAAAAGAGCTCAAATTCCCGCCAAATCTGGATTTCGCTCCAATTTCCGCCACGTGCTCTTATCTTCTAATTCAACCTCATCGAGCCCATGTTTCCCGCGCCCTCTCATCTCCCCGATACACACTCACGCACACACACTTCTTGGTCTAGAGTTCTGGTTCTCCCCCTTCTCCCTGAAGCGCGCACCTTGTGTGCGCCGTGTTCGATCACGTTGTGCTCTTGCTGATTTTGTTCCAGTCCCCCTCCCCACCGCCTCCTCCTCCTCCCGACCGATTCTATACATCCTTGCAGCAGCGCCATTCCATTTTCTCTCTCTCTCTCTCTCTCTCTCTCTCTCTCTCTCTCNCTCTCTCTCTCTCTCTCTCTCTCTCTCTCTCTCTCTCTCTCTCTCTCTCTCTGTGTCTGTCTGTGTGTGTGTGTGTGTGTGTGTGTGTGTGTGTGCATTTGTGCATGGTGTCTATTGCGTCATTCAATTCTTCCTTTTGTTCCTTTTCTTTCTACCTGTAACCCACCTTCAATCACGCTCCTTAGGCTTCCAAACCGGCTTGTTCTCATACGAACTGATGTCGATCTTCTTGCTGATACTATCTAATTCCCTTTCCAAATCGGGTTTCCTTTTCTTAAGCTTCGCGTCCGGAAGTGCTGCGAAGCTCGCCAGCGGCTGAGTCGGATCGACCCCAAGGGTGGCCCACTCTCTCTCATTTTGCGTGCGCACGATGTCCGCTCTGCCTTGCAACATGTGAGCGAGTCCTTCGAAGCCCAGCACGCAAAGTCCTATGAGAGGCGCGCCATACCTCCAGAAGGGCCCCGCCCTCTGCCACATGTCAATCGCGCGCTCGACGACCGTCATCACCAAGATCATAAGAACAAAAGTACAAATGAGATCCGTGTATTCAGTGCGCGCCTGGCTAGCTCCAACTTGCTCCCCGATTTTGTTTATTACAACAACGACGGCGATGGCGATGGCGCGCTTCGCCCACGTCGTCCTCTTCTATCTTTCAGTTCCGTCCTCTTCTCGCCAGGCGTGGCGCCTTTCCTTGGCACGTCCTCGGGCGTACTACTTCACTTTGAACTTTCCTGCGCGTATCTGACCTTGTTTCCCGCTAGATTCGGTAGATAAACTGCAAGTGTGAGTACGCCATGGGTTTTCCGCCCCTGCCCGCAGTGGGGCAAAGTGGGGCAATCAAAGTGGTAGCACTACACTGTGTTGTGACCTGCGTACACGCTTGGCTCTCCATCTTATATTAAGGCCCTCCACGTGCAAACCGCCGACGCGCACCCGCCGGAGTATATAGATGGATATGGTACGCAAAGAATGCGTACACCAAGCTGCCCTTAGAAGACTGAATCATCCCTTTTCAAGTGTGATCAGTTCTTGCACTTGCCTACAGATCGGATCCTATACTTCAAACTGCCCTCGAAAGCTCTTTCAGACTGATTACTCTCTCTACAGATCACATCCTATACTTCAAACTGCCCTCGAAAGCCCTTTCTTCGGCCAATCAGCCTTTTGCTATGTGATCAGATCATGACTCATTTGGCTTATCTCCCTCTACTTGGCTTACCTCTCCGTGCACAGTGCACAGTGCAGCACCGCCTTGTTGACCTTCCTACCGGTAGTGCTCCTCGATGCGTCCCGGCAGATGCCTGCGTCCACCGGTAGTGCTCCTCCACGCGTCCCGGCAGATGCCTGCGTCCTTTCGCGTCCCTTTCATTGTCCCTCGCATCCCACACATAATGCTGACGCGCAGTCCCACGCCACGCCAGGGCTGGCGCTGGAACAACAACGGCTAGAGGTAAGAGCAGCCAAAGAGAAGTTCGCAGCCCTAAGGCTAAGGTGTGGACTCCACTGGCCGGCGGCCTGGAAAACTTTGGGCGCCGGGGTGTTTTCCAGACCCCCACAAACCGGTGTGGAAAGCCGGCCCGGAAAGGGATTCCAGACCCCACTGCCCTTGGAAAGAGGTTGCGGAAATGCTGACGGGGCGTTTCTACATGGTCCGCGGTCTGGAAATTCGATGCCTACCGGTTTCCAGACCCTTTCCAAGGAGGCGCCCAGTTGAGCCAGGGGGGGGGCATGTCCATCAGTTTCCAGATGTGAATGGACCATGCACCCTCGCCATGGACCGTTCTGTGTACCCGGACTCCAAGGCCGTGGCGGACATGCGTATTTTCCCGCAGTGTCGCACGGTATTCCCAAGGGCCCGCCGGTCTGTGGAGTCCATGGTCCCCCGAATCCACGAACATCGCGGTGCACCGTTTGAAATGTGATGGATCCATGGCGATTCCGTTACCGTGACGGAGACGTCGTCAACCCCTGTACACCGCCTATTCTAGCTCTGTCGACCGCACAACCTTCACGAACCCGTGCGACTCACCAAACCGTCCTCCTTCGTCCTCGGCGATGGCTCCCCGTCAGTGCTCCTGTGCTCAGTGCACTCCGGCTAGCAATGGTTCGGACGGCACCTCCCACCAACGGCAGGGAGGGACATCCACCCACGCCCCCAATGGTAATTTTCCGTTGACTGAACGAACCCGCTCAGGCCACACAGCAACGCACGGCACTTGTGCGGCCACACACGGACTTGTCCTGGAGCAGTGTGGTACCAGGCCATGGTCCACAGCACCCGCCCGACTTGCCTTTTCGGGAAACACCCTTCGGTGGTTTCCTATTCGGGTATGCCATGCCTTTTCCAGTGCCGAAACTATCGGTCTACGGTGGGGTCCCTTCAAAATGCGTCAAGTTTTCTCCAACCACGGTCGGCCGTTTTTTTGTGGCCAACACCAGTTTCCAGCCGCCGGCCAGTGGGGTCCACCCCCTAAGGCCTGGACCCCACTAGCCGGCGGCCTAGAAAAGTTCGGGCACTGTAGTGTTTTCCAAACCCCACTGGTGTTGGAAACTGGTGTGGAAAGTCAGCCAGGAAAGGAATTCTGGACCCCACCGTGCTTGGAAGCAGGTCGTGGAAATGCTGGCGGGGCGTTTCTACTCACTCGGCGGTCTGGAAATTCATCACCGGCCGCTTTCCATTCCCTTTCCAAGGAGGCGTCCAAACGATCACGGGGGGGGGCATGTCAATCCGTTTCCAGACAACGGCTGGACGACGTGGACCACGCACCCTCGTCGTGGACCGTTTTTTGGACCGGGAGGTCGCCGCGGACATGCTCTTTTTTTTTGTCGTCGCACAGTTCTTCCAAGAGCCCAAGGGTCTGGGCCATCCATGCTCCCCTCACTTTACGAACAGCATGGTGAACTGCCCACATCCGATGGATACATGGCAACACTGTGACTGTGATGGGAACGACATCGACCCTTGCACACCAGCTGTCGTGGCCACTTGACGAGCACACAACCTTCGCGGACTCATGCTCTTTGCCAAACCCTCCTCCTTCGTCGACGACTATGGCTTCCCATCAGTGCTCCGTACCTACACTCCCACTCTGGATGGTCCGGCTAGGAAAAGTGGTTCCGACGGCAGGAGTGGGGGCGGGGGGGACAGCCGTCGATGTTCCCAACGGTAATTTTCGTGCACAGTCAGGTCTCGCCGCCCGAGCGGACCCCGTGAGGCCGTTGTGTGTTCCACGGTACTTGTGCGGCACCTGCCACACTGGGTCGCGCACGGCCACACACGGACATGTCTTGGTGTAGACCAATAGAAGGCCATGGACCACAACCCCGACCAGACTTGCCTTTTCGGGAAACACCCCGGCGGAATTTCCTATTCGGGCATGTCCATCCGTTTCCAGTGTCGAGAGTCAAGGGTGGCAGTGGGATCCCAACGAAACGCGGCAAGTTTTTTCCAACCACGCTGGGCCATTTTTGTGGCCAACATCAGTTTCCAGTCGTCGGGCAGTGGGGTCCAGACCTAAGGCCTTGACCCCACTGGCCGGCGGCCTGGAAAGTTCAGGCGCTGTAGTGTTTTCGAGACCTCACCGGTGTTGGAAACCGGTGTGGAAAGTCGGTTAGGAAAGGAATTCCAGACCCCACCGTGCTTGGAAGCAGGTCATGGAAATGTTGACGGGGTGTTTCTACTTGGTCGGCGGTCAGGAAATTCATCGTCGACAACTTTTCATTCCCTTTCCAAGGAGGCGTCCAGACGAGCAGGGGGGGGGGCATGTCAATCCGTTTCCAGACAACGACTAAACGGGGTGGACCATGCACCCTCGTCGTGGACCATTTTTTGGACCGGGAGGCCGCCGCGGACATGCTCTTTTTTCTTGTCGTCGCACCGTTCTCCCAAGGGCCCAAGGGTCTGGGTCATCCATGCTCCCCTCACTTTACGAACAGCATGGTGAACTCCCACATCCGATGGATACATGGCAACACTGTGACTGTGATGTGAATGCCGTCGACTCATGCACACCAGTTGTCGTGGCCACTTGACGAGCATACAACCTTCGCGGACCCGTGCTCCTTGCCAAACCTTCCTCCTTCGTCGAAGACTATGGCTTCTCGTCAGTGCTCCGTACCTACACTCACACTCTGGATGGTCCAACTAGGAAAAGTGGTTCCGACAGCAGGAGCGTGGGGGGGAGGAGACAGCCGCCGATGCTCCCAACGGTAATTTTCATGCCCAGATGGGTCCCGCCACCCGAGCAAACCCCATGAGGCCGTTGTGTGTTGCACGGTACTTGTGCGGGCACCCGCCACACCGGGTCACGCACGGCCACACACGGACATGTCATGGTGCAAACCGATAGAAGGCCATGGACCACAACCCCGACCATACTTGCCTTTTCGGGAAACACCTCGGGGGGATTTCCTATTTGGGCATGTCCATCCGTTTCCAGTGTCGAGAGTCAAGGGTGGCAGTGGGGTCCCAACGAAACGCGGCAAGTTCTTTCCAACCACGCTGGGCCGTTTTTTGTGGCCAACATCGGTTTCGAGCCGTCGGGCAGTGGGGTCCAGGCCTAAGAGTTGGGCCAAGAGTTGGACTCCACAGGACCATGAAAAGGAAAAAATTCGTCGCAAAACTGTTTCCAGAACCCTACAACCTGCAGCACATGTCCACGGAAAGGT